ATAAAAAAAGCACCAGGGTTTGATGAGATACCTAGTGATATAGTTATTGCAAATAAACACTGTCTTAATAGACCTCTGATACATATACTAAAGCTCTGGTTAAATTCTGGGATTTTTCCGGATGTACTTAAATTAGCAAAAGTAACTCCATTATACAAATGTAATGATCATTCTGGCATTACAAACTACAGACCTATATCAATACTGTATTTTTAAAACTCTTCGAACGTGTAGTTTACTTTCACACGTGTAATTTACTTTCGAACGTGTAGTTTAATTTCGAACGTGTAGTTTACTTTCGAACGTGTAGTTTACTTTCGGACGTGTAGTTTTCTTTCGAACGTGTAGTTTATAATCTATGACTACTTTATTAAAAGCAATTTTTTTTACCCAAATCAGTTTGGCTTTCAACTTTCAACAAAAAAATCTTTCAATTGAGCATGCAATTATTGAAATAGTAAATCAAATTACTAATGGATTTGGAAACATTAAGTTTATTTTTGGAGTACCGTAACACGGGGTTAAAAACTGCAATAATCCACTTGATTGCAAATTTTGGTTATAACGATCAATTTTGCTCTATTCAAAATTTTATTTCAACTTTTTTTTATTTAAAATATTTTTAAAGATATCAACCTTTAATTCGAACTTATTGATTTATAAAATAAATTAGAAACGGATGTGCTTTTTGGTTTTTGAAAATGTGGCTTAATGTTACCCTGAGTTGGTGTTTCTTTATGCCAAGTATACTTGTTGTGCTGTTTTGTTATATTTACTTACAAATTACTTAGGTGCATACCTCCATAATGTTAAAACTAATACTTACTTAAAATTTACTTAAAGAAATACTTCTATATTGTTAAAACAATTGTCTTTGGATCTATTTAAAGCAAAAGAAAAATAGAAATTATACAGAAAACTTTGTATATTTTATTAATCTTTTTTTTGTTCTGTTATAATAAAACAATAACTAAATTGATAGGTAAGTAACTACTACATATAAACATTTAATGTTTAAAAATAGTTGTTTCAATCAGATATAAAAGCCCGCAGCCTAGACTTATATTGATTGTTAGATGCTGCACTGAAGATATCGCAATTAACTTTTTTTCGTTACTGGAGCGCTTCTGAGGCATTTTTGACTGGTACAACTTCTGATTCTTCTGAGTCAGGACTGATTCCTTTTCCTGGTGGAATATTTAGTTTCTTTTTACGCTGTGATATTGAAGGTACAAGGTGTACACGACTGTTATTTAAATGACTTATAAACGCTTTAGAAATAAGCCACAGATCAACTGATGATCGATCCTGCAGTTGCAAACGATTGATGAGAGTTTCTTTGTTACAAGGATGAATTCCGCGCTTAGCAAAACCTGATATTAAATTTTCACTTGAAGTGTCTTTTATTAATTCCAGTACCTTTTTTAGAAGTGGTGGAAAGCGTCATTTTGGAAGTGTTGTGGATTTTTTACCTGGAGGTAATTCTTTCCACAAAGTCAAAACAGTTTTCTACTTACTTTTTAGTGGCCTAAAATATGCAACTTCTAGAGGCTGTGTTAAATGCGATGAGTTGGGTGGTAAACACGCAAATACTATGTTATTTACTTTTTAATACTATGTTAAATACTATGTTATTTACTTATAAAACATTCTAACTGATGGGTAATGATAAATTATCTCCAATAAGAATTTTTTTTATAGTCTGTTTTTTCAGTATAGGAAGCAAGTGAGCAGTAAACCACTCCTCAAATATAACATTATCTAACCATCCGTGTTTTGTGCGATTGTACCTAGCTCCATGGGGATCGTTTTAAATCCACGTTGACCACAGATTTTCCGATTTGTAGACAACGTAAGGTGGTATTGTACATCCAGCAGCGTTGCCACAAAACATGACTGAAATATTAGACTTTGATGAGTTCATTACTCTTTTAGGGTATTTACAGCCACTACGACATACAATTTTTTTGCGGCCTTGCACCACTTAAGTTTGTTTCATCATAGTTGTATATATTTTCTGCTGGCACATTTGTAACAACTTAGCTGAGGTTTTCAATAAACTCGCTTAAGGTTTTTTCGTTAACTGCAGCCCCGATAACGTTTTATATTAGCTGCCAAAAACCGTCAACCGTCAATCCTGATTATTCCATTAAAAAAAAATTATTTCAAAATGGGTTAAATGGATTATTTGATTTTTTTTCACTTGATTTTTTCTTTTTCAATTCCTTTGTTTGTTATTTTAAGTATTCTTCTTTTAACTTTTCCTTGTTTTCCTTCAATCCGTTTTACTTTGTTTAGAGTAGATATTTCTTTTTACTGTCGACACTTAAATTTGCTTGTGTCTACAGTTTTTACTTCATTTAGAAGTTTGACAGCTTGCAAGTCTTAAGAAGTTTGTAAGCTAAGAACGAGTTTGTTGTTTGCACTATATAAAATTTAACCAACTTTTTTATAACTTTTGTTGTAGCACATCATCTTTGGTATTCCAAGTACTGGAAAATAATTCCATAACCACTTAGTTTAACATCTGTATAAGTGAGATTATCTGTATAAGTGAGGTAATTAGTTGAAAACACTTTTTGGCATAACATCAACTTCAGATCCCATGTCGATTTTTCCAGGTACCAATTTAGTTTGAAAGACTATTAATCCTTTTTTTAAAATTCCACTAGATGATACAGATTTAACATTCCACTAGATGATACAGATTTAACATTCCACTAGATGATACAGATTTAACATTCCACTAGATGATACAGATTTAACATGTTTGTTCAACAGCACAACTTTCGTGTATGTTTTTTGAGATGCAAAAAAGCTACCCAATGATTTTTCTGTTACATTTGTGACATGTTTGACCAAATGCCAGACAGCTTTTTCGTTTATGTGTTCTATTGCATTTCTTGTAAAGCCCTTTGTTGTCGTTTTATATTTAAACAATTATTCATTTGTTTTATTTTTTTTTAGTTTTTTAACTTTTTGTTAAAATTTTTCTGTCCACTTCTGAAAATATGTTATGCTTCGTATTTATAATTTTTGGAAAGAGAAATTTTATATTTGTTTGACAATTGTGCTTTTTGATTAAGATGTAAATTCAGTATTCATTACCTTTTCAAATAAGTCCGATATTGGGGCAATATTCAAAATGCAACACTATATAAATCGTCTTTCAACATAATATATTTTTTTATAAATTTTTTTTTGTTTATTTTTTTATCAATTTATTTAACCATAAAATTGAATTACATATTATTTATAAATTTACAAAACTAGGTTTGATGACACTCGTATAATTAAAAATAGTTAATAACTAGTCGTTAGAGTGACACCTTAAATAAAAACAAACAAACAACAATATAGATAGTGACCACAAAATGATTATAATATTAAGAAAAAACAGTAACTATTAAAAAAGCCAGACTTATAACAAAAAAAGAAAAAGTAAATGAACTGACATGAGAGATAATAAACGAATGAGAAAACACAACGTTTAACGATCAGATTCTGATCGCTAAACGTTACGTCATTCATTCATTGTAAGAAGAGTTATAGAAAATAAAAAGAAAACCAATAGAAGTATTTATAAATTATGATGAGACAAAAAAATACGAAATCATATAAATTAAACCTACAAATGTAAAACGCAACAATGATAAAAATATTTAGCAACAACACTACAAAACAAAAAAAAAAACAAAAAAAAAAAAGCGCGACAATATAAACAATACACTTATAAACACGTTAATATAAACGATGCACAAAATTACACGACAGTATAAACAAAAATAGAAATACTCTCGAGTTCCTAATACACGGGGGGAGGGGAAATGTTTATTAATTGTTGGAAAATTTTCCTTCCCACACCAAGTTAATTTAGGTCCCCGCTTCCATATTTGTTAATTTTTTACTTCCTATCTAAAAAAAAAAAGAAGGTGAAAACTGGCCTTAAAAATTAGAAAAAATGCCCCCGAGAAAAAATCACCCAGGAAAAAATCCCCCTAAAAGATAAAATCATCGTAAAAATATACTTTTCATATAAGAAAAAAACCTTAACATTTATAAAATTTTTTATCAAGAATCAAAATTAAAAAAAAAAAAAAAAAACAGATTTTTTTTATTAAAATGACTGCCTAACCTAGAAGAACCCTAGGCGGATGTAGCGGCACGTCCTTGTAGCAGCAGGCTATAAGATAGTTGATGTAGCAGTACATCCTTGTAACAACAGGCTGTAAAACTCTATTCTGAGTGGAAATTGAATTTTTTTTTTGAGGCATCAGCAAATTGAGTGTTTTGCCAAAACATTACTTTAAGGGGTATTTTTCAGTTTGTTTATTGTGAGTGGCTTCTAATTTTTTCTTGAAGCTTTTTCTTACGTATTGTGAAATTTTTTCCAAAAAATTTTTTCCATTTATCTACTGTCCAGTTAGCAAATTTTCTCGTCCAAATATATCTCTTCTTTATTATATTTTCATTAATAACTAATTCTTCGGTGGTTTACTTGTTACCGTTTTCTTACTGTAGAGTTGTGAATTTTCACTTCGTTGACCTCTAAATCTTATTGCACATCAAAAACTGTCATTCTTGGATTTATTTTAGACATTCCGAGAAGTTATTATTTCTTTTCAATATTTCTCTTTTTCTGACACATTTTCTCATTCTTTGTATTGCAACAGATCAAATTTAGTGTTTCTTACTAATAAATTTACAACCCCTTACTAACTCCACACTCTTCAGCGATCTTCCTTTGAGTCAAGAAAGTTCACTTAAGAGACAATCTTATCTTTCCAGATAGCCCCGATTTATGGTAAGTCACGGATGTTTTGCCGAAATTTAAATAGAGATATCATGTCGCTGATTTATGCCCGGAATTTCAAACCTAACGGTTAGTGTTCGGTTAGGATAATTCAAAACACAGACCCAATAAAATAATGTTAATATTATAATAAAAATGTTAACTTTCTCAGTCAGCGTTTTATTAAAAAATGAAAATCTGAATAAAATAGGTGTGTGTGTTTATTTTGGGTGTGTGTTTGATTTAAAATACTATTATATTTTGAAATAGAGTATTTTGGACAGCGTTAAAAATTCTTCTTTTGCATTTGTTATTAAAGGGAGGTTGAATTAAACAAGTATCCTTGTCTTTTAATATTAAAAGGTAATGAACTTTAGATATTTGTAAGTTTTTTATTTGTTTAATATATATTTTGTGTACGAAATATTATTTTATTGTTATTATAAAAGTTAATAATATTATCAACTAAAGTTATTTTTATTCTTTATAAATTTATAAACTTTAAATAATATATATGTATATATATATATATATATATATATATATATATATATATATATATATATATATATATATATATATATATATATATATATATATATATATATATATATATATATATATATATATATATATATATATATATATATATATATATATATATATATATATATATATAGATAGATAGATAGATAGATAGATAGATAGATTATTTGGATACATATAAAGTTATTATTTTTTTAATAAGTGCAGAAAACCGGATAAGATATATATATATATATATATATATATATATATATATATATATATATATATATATATATATATATATATATATATATATATATATATATATATATATATATATATATATATATATATATATATATATATATATATATCTTATCCGGTTTTCTGCACTTATTAAAAAAATAATAACTTTATATGTATCCAAATAATAACTTTATATGTATCCAAGATTCCTATAAATATCGTATATCAACGCCTAATGACTCACAATCTGTATTAATTTGTACACATAGATTATTAATCTGTACATATAGATTGTTAAGTATAATAAAATAAAAAGAGTTATGAATGTAAGTGATCATACCGCCACCTATGCAAGTATTGTGCATTTAATGGACTGATACATATTTTGTTTCGTTATAAATACTACATAATACTTAATGAAATTGCTTAAAGAAAAATACAAACAAAACAGTACAAAAAAAGCATTAAAAGCTTCCATTGCAGGTGAAAGTTCTTCTCGTAAAATGAAAAATTCCTCTACATGGTAACATCAATTTAAAAAAACAGATGATCCACATTTGGCTATGTGTGTTTATTGTCATAGATTGATAGGTTGTAGTCCTAATAACGGGCCCACATGTTTAGCATCCAGATCATCGCATGCACATCATACTAAAAGGTGCAAATTGTTACCTGCTAGTTTAGATGAAAAGCAAAAAATTTTGACTTCCAAATCCCAAAACATAAGCAAAAAAGCACCAAAAGCTTCCAAAGCAGGTGAAAGTTCAAAGACCAATCTACTGAGACTCTTAATAACTTGAAACAGTGGCAATTCAATCAAGAGGCTTCTAAATATGCACTTGTGAAGTTGCTAATTATGGATGAACTACCTTTTATGATTGTGGAGAGAGACGGTTTTTGTTTATTATATAAGTCCATGGATCCAGATTTTTTATTTCCTTTACGTTTCACTGCTGCAAGAGATTATTACACTATTTTTATAGAGGAAAAAAAGAAGTTAATGAATTGTTTTAAGAATTTCTAGAAGACAAATATATATATATATATATATATATATATATATATATATATATATATATATATATATGATATATATATATATATATATATATATATATATATATATATATATATATATATATATATATATATATATATATATATATATATATATATATATATATATATATATATTTGTCTACTAGAATCTGATTAACAACCAATACTTCAACTTTTGGTCAAAACCTGAGTTATATTTGCCTCACTGCTCATTTTATAGATTATAATTGGAATTTGCATAAAAGAGTGATTGCTGGTCATTCTGGAAAATTTATTGGTAGAGCAGTTGAAAAGTGTTTAAATGAATAAGAAATTTAAAATATTTTGACTGTGGCAATAGATAATTCAACAACCGAGGAGTAAAAAAAACTGTGAAACATCTGCAAACAAACCTACAACATCTTATTGCTATATTGATACTATATTTAGTGTTGGTTATGTGCTCTTCCAACATGGTTTTTCTCCCAATTGGTTATGTGCTCTCCCAACATCTTCACCATGAAGATGAAAATGTTAGATAAATGGCAGCACAAATGAAGTTCAAATATGATAAATATTAGGGTAACATTGATGAACTTAATTTATGTTTATTTATGTCATCCTTGATCCAAGAAAAAAAAAGATTTTCTTTGATTGGATGGTAAAGGAATGATTTGGATTGACAGAGCTAGGTGTTTGTTTTTGAATATAACATCCACATTTTCTTCATTATTTGGTTTTTATGCTTCTTCAATGCATAAACCAGAGAATATAGCCACATTAGGTGGTTCAAGTTTAACCTCTACTACCGGATTTTATAATGAGGGCATTGAAAATGAAAAAATGTTTGATATAAAAAATGATAGATATAAAGTAGAAGCATTAATTGATAGTGGAAGTACAAACAAAAGTTTTATAAGCAACAAACTAGTGACTCTACTCCATTTAAATATTATTTATGAACAGAGTGTAATTGGAATGGCATCAGCTGCCTTATCTGCAAAATCAGATGGATATTGTTATGTCTTAATAACTCTTCAAAACAAAATCTTTAACAAAGTCAAGTTGCATGTGCTGGATAACTTATGTGTAGATGTTATTCTTGGCACAGATTTTCAAGAGTTGCATGAAAGTATTACCATCAAGTATGGTGGGAAAAGACCACCCATAACATTTGCTGCTTTAATAACAATGAAAACTGAACCTCCTGAATTATTTGCTAATCTCACGCAAGATTGTCGACCGATTTTTTTTATTATTTTTTTATTTTACTTGACGAACAAGGTCGCTGCGCGGAGAAACGAGTTGAGCGCGGTACTACCAGGGACGTGGTGGGGATCGAACTCCAAACCGCTCGTTTATGAAGCTCTACCACTACACCACTACCGCATAAATTGGTTTATGCGGTAGTGGTGTAGTGGTAGATTGATCAAGAAACCTCCCTTATTCAGTAGAAGATGTAAAACAAATATGTAGGGATTGTAGAACATGTAGAGAAATAAAACCCAAGTACTACCGCCCAAATGATGTGCACCTGATTAAGGCCATTCGAACGTATATCTATTGACTTCAAAGGCCCATTACCTTCTTCAACCCCTGAACAGTATATGCTAACAATTGTAGACGAATACTCACGTTTTCCATTTGCTTATCCTGTGAAAGATATGACAACTCAGACAATAGTAAACTGTTTAGCTGATCTTTTTTCAATGTTTGGTATGCCTTGCTATGTTCATTCGGATCGTGGATTCTCATTAATGTCTTCTGAATTAAAGCACTGGTTCTTATCAATAGGGATCGCAACTAGTAGAACAACCTCTTACAATCTGACTGGAAACGGGCAAGTTGAAAGATACAATGGAATTATTTGGAAGGCGATATTACTTACTCTGAAATCTCGAAATCTGCCTATACCATCATGGAAAAGAGTTTTGCCTGATGCACTTCATGCTACAAGATCTCTATTATGTACTTCTACTAATTGTAGTCCACATGAACGTTTTTTTAATTTTCAAAGAAGATCATTATCTGGGTCTTCAATTCCTTCATGGCTTGTTAACCCTGGACCTGTACTTATAAAAAAAAATGCAATGCAAAGTAAATATGATGATTCAGTAAATGAGGCTCAGCTCATTGAAGCAAATCCTCATTATGCCATTGTGAGATTTCCTAATGGTCATGAGACTACAGTGTCAACAAAACAACTGGCTCCTATCGGAACAACTCCTATAGTACAAACATCAAATGACAATTTAGAAATAACAGCTGTTGGTAACTACCCCTTGACCCCTAATGGTAGCAATGAAACTCCGTTAGTCTCCGAAGAGGAACTAGAAAGCAGAGGGAAACCTATAGAGCAAAGTACTCTGCCTCCTCGTAGATCTTCACAAATTTCTAAAGCACCAGAAAAACTTAACTTATAAATACACCTGAACACTTTTAAGAGGAGGGTGAATGTTATGATAATATGAAATATGGAGAATATATATAAATATATATGTTTTGTATGATATTCTATATACTTTATGTATTGTGTTATTTTGTTATAGACTAGTATAATTATAGCTCTTTTGAGCCAACATAATTAATATGGTTATTCTTTACAAAAGGGAAACAATTTCAGAAATACACCAAATGCCGTAAATACATTTATTAAAGAAACTATTTTATTATTTTATTTAACTTATTCCATCATTAACAAAATTTATTAATCAAATAATATTTTTTACAAATAAATAACAATTTATTTTCTTATTTTTCTATTAAATAAGTATTGAGAAAAAATGTCAAATATAGCAAAAATGTTTTAAAAGCAAAAAGACGATTTCAAATCTTTGTATGACATGCAAATAATATTTTGTTTTGACGATTTAAGCACAGTTTTTTAGAAATGTGCTAAAAAAATTGGTTTTAATTCAAGTTGGAAATTAATAAATTATACACTTTTATCTTTACTTACATTTTTACTTTTATCTTTACTTACATTAGCAAAATGCTTTTAAATAAAGTGACTGCGGGCTTTCCCAGGAAAGGCGTGCGGTCGCACGCCTTGTTTGTCCACGCATAGAATAAATTTTTCTGACTAACTGACCACATTTTATTATTATGCGTTTCAAAAATTCGCGCCATAACAAAGCTAAACGAAAATACTGCAAAAATGCAAGCAATCTTAAAGTAAATAACTGAAATCTGTTTGTGCTTTAAAATTAAAAAATTAATGTATATTATTAAAAAAAAAATTTACCTTTATTTTATTTATTTTTTTAGGTTGGTAGTTATATTAGCTATGAAAAATCAAATCAAAAAGAAAAATCAAATCAAAAAGAAAAAGATTAATGTTTAAAGAAAATAAAAGGACCTTTTAATGTAAAATTTGTTTATGAGTTTCATCATTTAGTAATACTTTAAAATTCACGATAGAACTATAAACAATTTTTAAATGTTTCGTAAATACATTTAAATGTATTGATTTAAATGTTTGAATGTATTGATACGCAAGAAAACATGAAAAGGATTGCTATTTATTAGTAAAATATGTTTTTTTTTTTTAAATGAAAGAAAATTTTATTGTCAAACTATTGAGTTGCTTATTTTGCAATCATTAAATGACATTGTGTTAATATATAATAATGTGACAAGTGTTAATATATAATAATGTCCCGAAGGAACTGTTTTCGTAACCATGACAACAGAAGCAATGCAATTATTTTTTTAACTTCTTTCGTAATTACAAAATTATGCAATTGAATAATTTCAACGTAATAAAAGGCGAGCATTGACTCAGTATAATCATTATAGAATAAGTTGAGAGAGAACTTTTTTCACATTAAAATTTTGTTATGTTTAATCTGTAAAAATCTCAAATAATATATTTAATAATTAAAACAGCAATTTATTTTCTTGTCAAAGTATTGGGGAATAAAGTCAACGCCTTTGCATAAACCTTTGTAAAAACTAAATTAAATGAAAAAGTTTAACCAAACTTGTCTAGCGTAAATAATGAATCAGTTTTTTAATACGTTGTCTGATAAAGTTCGTGAATAAATAACGTAGCAAGTCTTGTTATTTTCGTGAAAACTTAATGACTTATCGTCGTCTTTTCCTTGACTTGTATTAAATTTTGTAGCTGAAAATAGCAACCCTTAAAAAAGCAAACAAAAACAGTATAAAAATTTTGAAAAAAATGTTCAAGACTTTTTTTTTTTTTTTGTTACAAGAATTTTTTTTTTTTAATTTTTTTTTTTATTATCAAAATATTTTTCTTACATTTATTTCAATTTTATACTTTGTTTAGACTTCGTTTTCTTTTTTTTAATATTATTTATTATTCTCTGTGAATAATTTCCGCTTTCACACGAAATATTGCCGCAGTCACGTTTTCTGAAAAATTTATTCTATGCATGGACAAACAAGGCGTGCGACAGCACGCCTTTCCTGGAAAAGCCTGTAACTATTGATTTTAATTAAAGTATCATTAAAAGTTGTATAATTTTTTATTTATATTATTTAATTATATAAGATTTTTTTATAAGTAAATTTAAAAAAGTAAAATCATTAAAAAAAATTAAATTTTATAAGCAGCAACTTTAAACAGCTGTCTCTTATAAACTTTATTTAAGAATAATTAAAGTTAACTAACTCCAAAAGTAAAAAATTTTACTGAGAAGAAAAAGACAAACTTTTTAAAAGCTGTTTGAATTAAATAACTTTGATCTTTCCATAAGTTTTTATATTATTGCAACGCATTTAGATTATAATTAATAAAAAAATATTAATGAGTAATAATGTTTTTTTATATTTATATAAGTTTTGTTATGTCTTTAAAAAAAAAAAAGTATATATATATATATATATATATATATATATATATATATATATATATATATATATATATATATATATATATATATATATATATATATATATATATATATATATATATATATATATATATATATATATATATATATATATATATATATATATATATATATATATATATATATACTCTTGCATGGTAGTCAGAAAGAGTTTCCCATAAACTGTAGTTTTAAAGAGTGCGTTAATAAACCAGACCAGAAAAAGTTTAAAAACTTAAATTTTTTTTTTAAAATGATAGACTGCCTGCCCAAACCAAACCCCCAGTCGATGTAGCAGCACTCCCTTGTGAATCAGGCTATTTGTCAGTCGATGTAGCAGCAGTCCGTTGCGAGTCAGGCTATAAGATAGTCGATATAGAAACACTCCTTTGTAGCAGCAGGCTTCAAGATAGTCGATGTAGCAACATTTACGCATGTTTTAAAAATGTTTTTTAATAAAACAAAAACAAAAACACCACTAATTAAAAAAAGTTTTCTAGTCGTTATTATTGCAGTTTTTTAAATTTTTTTAAAAAACAATAAAATTTATTGTACTTCCGCATGTTGACGACAATCAAATACAGCTTAAGAGACGAGGTAATTAAAATTGTAATCAAAAGAGACTTTTTTTACATTAAAAGACTCTTTCGACTACACTATAAGGATATATATATGTATATATATATATATATATATATATATATATATATATATATATATATATATATATATTTATATATATATATATATATATATATATATATACTTTATAAATAAATGGTTTAATTATTTTTTCTTTTTGTTTATGTTACTGCGAAGCGTTGCTAAGAACCTTTTTTTTACTTTTGAATGTGCACATTTGTTAAACAATCGTTAGATGTAAGTTGTTACTTTTTTGTTATTTTTATTTTAATTTTGGTTAATTTTTTTACGAAGATTTATTTGCTTCTTCTACAATAAGTTTCTTTTATGCTTTTTTATAGTTAAGTTGAGATTTTTTTAGCGCATTTTAAAAATCACTGAGTATTTGCGTGGTCATATTATGATGTGAAATCGCATGCCTACCTGGCCAAGCCTATATATATATATATATATATATATATATATATATATATATATATATATATATATATATATATATATATATATATATATATATATATATATATATATATATATATATATATACAGGGTGGCCCATAAGTCACTTTGCATTTTAAAAATTAAATAACTTTTTTTCTATTAATTTATTTCTATTTCTCTTTTTAGAATTAAAAAATATAATCTTTGGAAATTTTTAGTATGGATACGTTTACAATAGAACAACGAGTGAAGATAAGTGAATTTTACTTTGAAAATGAACCGTCAATTGTTGCAACGCAAAGATCGTATATGCGCCATTTTAATGTTCGACATCTCCCTAGTAGGCCTGCAATAATGAACTTAGTGACGCGTTTTTAAGAGCATGGCTCTGTAAGTGATAGGACTAAAAGTGGACGAGGTCGTTCAGTACGTACATGTGAAAATACTGAAGCTGTGAGCCGTAGCATTGAAGAGAACCCAACCACATCTACTCAAAGGCGTTCTCAAGAACTTGGCATTTCACGGAGTTCTCTGCAGCGCATTTAAAGAGACTTGCACATGTATTTTTACAAGATTTAATTAGTGTAATCTTTACAACCACCAGATTTTCAGAAACGACTAAATTATGCTGTCAGGTTTCAGAGAACTGCAAGAAATGACAATGAGTTTATTCACAAGTTGATCATGGGAGATGAAGCTCATTTCCATTTGAACGGACATGTGAATAAGCAGAATATGAGATTTTGGGGCACCGAAAATCCTCACCAAGGTCATGCGAGTCCATTACACTCAGTTAAAGTCACAACATGGTGTGGAGTAACATCAGAAAAGGTTATTGTGCCCTTCTTCTTTGAAGATGTAAATGAAAATGCTGTGACTGTAACTGCTGAGAAATATCAAGACATGCTAGCGAATTTTGTTCAACCTCAGTTAGCAAACATGGCAGGGTATTAGTGGCAACAAGATGGAGCAACTGCACATACCGCTAGAGCCACAATGCAGTTGTTAACTGCAATGTTTCAGGAACAGATAATCTCTCTTAAATTCGATTTTGAATGGCCTCCACGTTCTCCTGATTTGACAGCACCAGACTTTTGGCTTTGAGGATATCTTAAAGACAAAGTGTAATAATAATAAGCCCCAAACTATTCAAGATCTTAAGGCAAACATACGACTGGAATTTCTTTTCCTACAACCTCAGATGTTAAGAAGTGTTGTGGAGAACTTACAGATTCTAAACTTTGTAATAAAAAAAGAATTAATTAAATACAGTCGTTAAATAAAAAGTTATTTAATTTTTAAAATGTAAAGTGACTTATGGGCCACCCTGTATATATATATATATATATATATATATATATATATATATATATATATATATATATATATATATATATATATATATATATATATATATATATATATATATATATATATATATATATATATATATATATATATATATATATATATATATATATATATATATATATATATATATATATATATATATATATATATATATATATATATATATATATATATATATATATATATATATATATATATATATATATATATATATATATATATATATATATATATATATATATATATATATATATATATGGGCATTTCCAAAAAATCACCACTTGTATATGTTTTTACTTTTATTTTCATAAAAATAAAACTAGCATTTACTACTCTCATTTAATTCTAATCAATATAAATATTTTGTAAACAAAAAATAGTAAGAATTAATAATGTTAACAAAGAAAAAATAAAGTTTGAAATGGAATCACACATGGAACAGAAAAACTTCTATTTTAGTTACTAGATAAATAAACTTTAATTCCTCGGACAATATAAGTTTCACAGGTATACTTTTTTTTTAAAATAATATTTTAAACATTAGTAAAGATTTCCAGAAAGTTACAGGATTGCACTATGAATCATAGAGTCAGAGCAATCGTTTAAATGCAGTTTATGAATGATCATGCACGGAAGTCACGCACGGATGTTGCAAGTTTGTCAATTTCATGTAGTTATTTTTATGAAAATAAATTGCAAGTGAGTATTTCAAGTAAAATATTATACATCTGCGACTCATATTTAATATATTTTTGATGAGAAACGGCAGTCATCAATTATTAATAGCTAGAGTATGGCGTTTTGAAAATTATTGTATAATTTTCAAAATGTAACGATATTATTACTCAAAAAATAAAATTGTAAAAATGTGTATATTTAATTTATTCAGATAGCCTAAAATATGATAAAAATACTTTTGTTATAATTGTTCTTTAAGAAAATCAAAATAGTATGCATATTGCATAAAGTCTCAGCTTTTAATTGCTAAAACAAAGAAAAATAAAAAATCACGCACAGAAATCGAAATGCCCATATATATATATATATATATATATATATATATATATATATATATATATATATATATATATATATATATATATATATATATATATATATATATATAGACTGTTATTAATAGTATTATTATATAATTATGAAATGTGAAAACGTATAAAATATTGGGTAAATTTTTAGATTAGTATTTTGAAAAAATGGATAATAAGAAACATAAAGATATTTTGCTGAAGATTGCTGATAATCTGTTGGATGAAGATGTTGAAACAATTAAGTTTTATTATTCACAACAAATTGGCTATCGTCATCTAGAAAGAATTAAAACTCCTATCAATTTAATTCAAACTTTAGAACATCAAATGCTTCTAGGGATAAATAACTATGATGATTTTGTTGAGATACTTAATAAAATTGGAAGGAATGACTTGGCAAATTATTTTTCTAGTGAGTATTATATTTTTTATATCTGGTTTTAACAGGAGGCGCATGCAGTTGCACGCCTTGCCTGACACCTTATATAATGTTTTGTTTTGATAAATTGGCCAAACATGCTCTTTGCATGTTTTGGTATTTTTAAATTTGAAACTTTGATAATGTGTAATATAAGATAAAGTAGTAAATTAAGTTAAAGATATACAGTTTTTTTTAAAAAAAAGCTATTTATCTTCATTTTCCAAGTTTATTTTGTACTTATTTTTTTATTCTTTCAGATTTATTTTCTTTAATAAAAAACTTTTCAACTTTTTTTGAAATTTATCATTATAACATTTTAAAATAAAAGTGTTGGGATTCAAACCACGGATATTCTGTGTATGAAGTTGACGTTTTGTCCAAATAAGCAAAGCTTGGGTATTCTTTTGAACAAATAAAATGTTATACATAAAAAGTATACTCATGCATTTTATAGAAATATTCATAATATATAAACAATATATAGTTGTTATTTTTTGTTATATTTAAGTTAAAATTGCTAACTGTATATATTTGTAAAATATATTTTACAAATACAAATTTATAGCAATTTATATTTTCATTTTTCTCCTTTAAAAAAACCAAATAAAATATAGAAAAATCATTCTATCTAATGTCGACTACTTTTTTTTTTTGCTTTGCCTTATATAATTTTGTGCTGAAATTAACAACCACTCTAAAGAAAAAAACAACAAAACACATATTATGTAAATTATAATTTTTTTTTTTAATTTAAATTTATTTTAATTTCCGGGAAGGCTTGATTATTTGCCCACTAACAGAAATGTTTAAGTTAGACTTTATGTTTAAGTTAGACTTTATACAATATTAAGTCTGAAATCATTATTTTGAGTTTATGAATTTTTAATTTAATTTGGGATTTGCATCTAAAGTATCATTTGCAATTTATTTGTAATTTCTATAAATAGTTTACTAAAGTTAGGAAAGCAATGCACACGTTTTGAAATCTAAGTTTTAAAATTTTATCTGCAAAGCATAGTTTTGTTTAGGAGTTTTTGTCATAGACATTTTACTGACAAAAATTTTATTGACTCAATAGTAATATTGAGTCCATAAAACTCCTCTGGGCATTCCCTATAAGTAAGACATGTTTTAAATTTTAGTTTTTAAAATAATGTAATTCTGGAAAACTCTTCCATTCATTCAAGACAACTCAAAGCAACTGTCATCATAGGAGGAAGATAAAAACTATTTAAAGATGAAATTTTTCATTAAACAGTCAAGGTTATAAACCAAATCTACTAGTACGATATGCTAAAGTCAGCAACGATACTTAAAGATAAAATGATGAAATGTTTAGCATAAAACAAGTTAATCAATGAAAATCAACATGGTTTAATTATTAATAAAAGTTGTGTACTAAAATAAAAAGATTTTCTACAGTATGCTTCATTTTGCTTATTATGAACAAGCTGTTACTACAATTAAAGGTTTAAATACAACAACTATAAGTTTAGAAAATATTAAACATTACTTGTAGCACCTTATCGCACTAATGTATCATGTGTCTCTATTTTACAGCCACAAATCTTGACTTATTTCTTGGAATAGTTACTGACAACTGCTCTGCAATAATTTTTTCCCAATATTTATTTGTAAAAAAAATCTCTATTTAGAGATGTTAAGTTTAACAAAATATATAAAATCTGTTTATTATATATAAAATTAATGAGTTTTTTGAAAGTTGCTGAGTGAGGAATCAAGTTGTGTTTGGATTATTTTCATATACTTGGTAAAACAATGGTATATTATAAACATATTTAAAATTTTATTTAATGTTATACTGATAATTCCATGTATGTTCAACAAAACCAAAATTGTTTTGTTCTTAGGTTTTGATGATATTTGCTATAAAGGCTTGATGATATTTGCTATACAAGCTCAAATTAAAAAATTTGAATCCAACTTTTAAGGTTTTAAGCAACTACTATCAAGAGAAAACAAAGAGTTTAAAGAGCATGTAAACAGTTACTTGAAGTCTTAAAATGTTGCATGTTGTATGAATTCAGAAAACATAAAGATTAGTAAAAGTTTCGAAGTTTTGTTGATCTGCGAGGAGAAAAATTAGATAAATAAATATTTTTATAACATGTAGGCACAGATACAGTAAAAAGATGCGACTTTGCTGAATGACAAGCCAAGTGAGAATGAGTTTTGGTTGATTAAACTGAAGATGATATACTATTTTGCAATGATAAAAGAGTGGCTCAAGGTCCATAAATAAAGCAGGTCCAACAACATAAAAAAAAAAGTACTTTTAGACCTTAGAACTCACACCCTAACTTTATCTATTAGACTGGTGTAGATAGCAAAAATAAGACAAAACTAAAAGATTTTGCAACATCTCTATATATTTACTTAATTGTAGCTCTATATAATATGTAGTCTTTTCAAATGACAATTGTGAATTTTTAATATTTTTTTTTTTAGACATCACAAAGTAATTGGTCATGAGTTTTTTTTTACATACTAAAAAAATTTAACTCTAAATTTTTTTTGACATAAAATAAAAACTTTTTAAAATGTAGTTTTTGTCAATAAATCTTAGAAAATAGAAAAAAACCAAATACGATACAAATTGGGAAATACCAAATTTAATGTGTTTTTTAATGCGCGTTATGACATTTTGACAATTTAAATTACCATCTATCTTAAATTATTGCCATTAATTAATGTGTTAATTATTGCGTTTTTTAATAAAAGTTTGTCCGTATTTTTGTTAAATATTAGTTGTATAAAACAGGCGAAAATATACGAATTTCATGTTTTTTATTTGATGGTTATAAAATATTGAACAGAAAACTTATAATCACAATTTATAATGCCGACTTAAGTTGCTATTAATTGTACTTTTAATGCAAAACCAGGGTCTCACATATCCTTTTACGATTTTTTATATCTGATACCACTGTCAACTGTATTGTTTAGTGTATTCTTGTACTTTTTTTTCATTAAAAAAAAAAAAAGAATAAACTGTTGCCGACATTTTAAAAATTTCAATATCAAAAATTAATTGTAAAATAAAATGATATTTCCTTTTTATCCGTATTCAATTCAGCAAATTTTACAAAAAATTATTTTGCAATGTTTGGAAATATAATACAAATAAATTTGTTTTGCTGTATGTTAAAAAAATACTACATCGTACTTTTTTAATTAAGAATTAGAAAAACGCAGCTTTGTTTAATTACACTTTTGATTTGTTAAAAGTCTACCGTGACGTCAAATACTAAAACTTTTATGAATTAAACGCGCTTCAAAGGAATTGCCAAAGTCTATAGATTGCGACATATAATTTGAAGACTCCAAGTTATTGAAAAAAAAGAGAAGGCGAGCTTCGGCTAAAACAACAACATTAGTTTTTCTCTGTATGCATTCATTATTTATTTTTAGTCAAAAAAATTTGGTTCAAATCTTTTTTTTCATTATCTTTAATATGAACACAACATGTGTTGGGAATTTGGGATACCTTTAAAGATATGCAGGAAACAGTGATTATTGTAGACACAATGTGTCACCAAATTGTTCATGAATGATTGACACAATTTATCCGTTTACTCATTTCATCTTTTTCATGGCATAAATGTTTGCCTGTTGTTAAAATTATTTTTCTACTAAATGAAAATTTTCATTAATGAGTAGTGTAGTGGCTCCATAAAAACCATGTGGGTTTTTTCTAAAATGCAGGCCTTGTTTTTAAGACATAAACTGGCGCACTATTTACATATGCCCTAAGCCATTTTACATAAGCAGTAAGCCATTTTAACTGAGCCACTTTTATCATTTATAATATTTAAAGAAGTGGTAAGGTAAAAGAAGTAGTTAACATTATAAAAACCACTAATGAAGTTTGAATGACAATTACGTAAAAAAGTTTGAATGACAGTTACATTTGATATTTGTGTTATTTACAAATATGATTACTTAAGAAAAGAAAAAAAAAGACTATTTTTATTAATCTAACCTTTCCATCTAAACTATTAACAAAAAAGATGTTATAGATGCATAAAAAAAGAAATCATAAAATAAACTTAATAAGAACTTTTATATTTATTATCTTTGCAAAAGCAAGAATATTTATTCAGGCAATTCCTCATAACAAACGATAACAAAAATAATTACTCAATTTTAAAACAAATTAAAAAAAAATATATTGGCTAAAAAGTAGTACACGTTAAATTTAATTTTATATTAAAACCACTTTTGATATTTTAAATTATATAAATAACAGATAGTGCAATATTGAAAAAGTAAAAACAAAAGTTTCTTTATAATTAAGAAATGATAAAATAGTTATTTAAATAAAAAAAATTGAATTTTTTTTCTTTCTATTTTTCTTTTTTTTCTTTCTATTTTTTACAAAAAATTAAATTCCTTGTAACCATGTTATAACTTATAACACTGCATCAAAAATATTTATAAAGAATAGGTTTTAAATTTTTTTCTTAAGGTAAGTGAAACCTCAACAGTATATATTTTTTAATAAATGATACTTAAAAGTTAAATTTTTATTTTTCACAAAAAAAAAAGTTCTGGTACAGTAATTTACTTTTTTTCTTTGCAACAAGTATTGTTATTTTTTGATAAAATTATTTGTTGCAAAAAAAGAAAATACCTTTTTATCAAAATTTTCGATAAAAATGTAAAAAGTCATTTATTTGTGAAGCCGCAATTTTAAATTATAATGAAAATAAAATAAAAATAAAATATATATATATATTTTAATTCATTTATAAAAATGTTGAGAAAAGAAATAAATATATTTATATTAAATTAAAATAAAAAAGTGTATATTTAATTATTTAAAATTAAAAAAATTATATATTGAAATAAAATAGACATTTCGCAACATATACACTTACAAAATTTGTTTTTCTTAATTAATAAAATAAACTTGTTTTGTGGTCATTTGTTTTACTGCAGTATTTTTAAAAATGCATATATGCAGCCTT